CCGCGCCTGCCCAATGAAGCCTGTCGTTTTTTTTTTTACTTCTATTCATCCCATCTTTTGTATGACAGCTGTGTTTGACCTTTGACCTTTTAGGGATCTGAAGGAGCTCCCCTCCATCTACGATCGTCGCTTGGCTGCTTGCGGAAAACTGGAGTCTGCAGAGACATCACTGCTTTCAACGGCCGCTAAACTTCGACGCAAGGCATTAAAGAAGGCCAACGCCGCTGGCGATCCATCCCCTTCAGTTGATCCCGAGCGCAATATGGCTTTAGCGGAGCGTCTGGTTCCTCGGGATAAGCGGCCTTCGCACCGTCTTCCAGCCGGTTTTATGCCTTTCTCACTCCCTTTTATCGGCGAAGAGGTCGACACGATTGATTGGTGCAGGCAAGAAATTGCTGCTGCTACAGAATTGTTGACCACAGGCCGCCAAACTCTCGCCGATCAAGACCTTTCGCTGCCGGAAGATGTTAACGGAGATGGAAAGGTGGACAAAAATGACCGCGCCAAGCAGACTTACCCACCTCTCAATTCCGCATTCATCACTTTCAACCAACAGATCGCTGCTCACCTTGCTGTTAACGCCTTAACTCACCATGAACCATACTCCATGGCCGACCGATACCTCGAAGTATCTCCACCTGATGTGATCTGGGGTAACCTTGGGCTTAACCCGTATGAAAAGCGTATTCGAGTCGTGATTAGCTATAGCGCTACCGCAGTCCTAATCATCTTCTGGGCTATTCCCGTTGCTTTTGTCGGTATCATCTCCAACATTGAAGGCCTTTGTGTTCGCGAATCGTGGCTCGCTTGGTTATGCAAGTTGCCAAGCCCTGTCATTGGAATCATACAGGGTATTCTACCCCCTGTGTTACTCGCCGTCCTCATGATGCTTTTGCCGATTGTCCTTCGTCTCTTTGGGCGCTTCGAGGGTATTCCGACGTACACAGGTCTTGAATTGAGCTTGATGACACGTTACTTCATTTTCCAAGTAATCGTGAGTATTTCGTTGCTCATAAGCGGCGAGCGATTTTGCTCACGGTATTTAGCATTCGTTTTTAATTGTCACTCTGAGTTCGGGCATCTTTGCGGCTCTCCCATCAATACTATCAAACCCCAGTTCGATAGCTGGTCTCCTGGCTACATATCTGCCTCAAGCATCGACTTTCTTCCTGACGTGAGTCATTCTTGTGAGCTTACTGAGACAGTTGCTCATTAAGATATGCAGATACATTCTTCTTCAGGGTTTATCTGGCGTAGCTGGAGGATTTTTGAGTGCTGTTGCGCTCATCCTTTACTACGTCAAGCTGTATATCCTTGGCAGCACGCCACGCTCTATTTATAACATCAAGTATGGACAGTCAACTGTTGCTTGGGGCACGTTATTCCCGTCTATCACTTTGCTCGTCGTCATCAGTACGTCTGTTCGTGGCAGTTCCCACCAAACGTATTAACGGTTTGTCTCAGCGTTTGCTTACTCCATCATCTCGCCTGTGATCAATGGCCTTGCATGCTTTACATTTTTCCTTTTCTACCTCCTCTACAAGTACCTCTTCCTCTACAAGTACACGCAGCCGCCCTCGGCTGACACAGGAGGCTTGTTCTTCCCAAAGGCGATTCAGCACGTGTTCGTCGGGATGTATGTCCAGCAGCTCTGTCTCTGTGCCTTGTTCTTCCTTGTGGATGCCCCGGACGGGAAGCGAGGCGCGCTCCCAGAGGCCGTGCTCATGGTTGTGTTGATCATTCTCACCGTCGGCTATAACGCCATTATTAACAGCTCCTTTGGTCCGCTCACCGAGGCTCTTCCACTCAGTCTCGCGCACAAGACATTCAGGCATCCAGAGCCTTCTCTGGATATACAGGACGTCAATGGTGGGTCAGGCTCAAACCCCAAAGAGACGGCTGTGGAGGAGATCGAGGAGGGACCTTCGCCGATCGATAAGCCCCGCGTCTCGTCCTCTGAGTCAGGCGCCGAACATGCTTCGCATAGTGACTATGACGATGTGTTCTTTGCTCGCGGACCGGACGGTACAGAAGATTATGGGTTTGCACAACCGGCTGCGTGCCGCCCACAGCGTATCGTATGGATCCCCGATGATTCGCTCAGTTTGGGCCGTGAGGAGGTCCAGACGAATAAGGAATCGGGCGTTAAGGCAACCATCCAGAACGCGAAAATGGATGAGAACGGGAATGTGGACATTACGGGTCCCCCTGTCGACCTCGCAAAATTCTGAGAGATGCTCTGGAGTGACTGAGGTTTTTCTTTTTTCTTTTTTCTGGTACATTTTCTTGCCCACGTCTTGTCAAATGTGGTATCCATCTTCCATTCAACTTCTTATGCTGCATATTGCATTTCACACTGGTCATACGATAAATATTCACGATATTCATGTTGTCACATCTGATTCTTCATTCAATCATGTCAACCATTGTCAGTTTCATCTAGTCTGAATACCCCTTGTCCTAGTACATAATCCTGTTGCGCACTTACGATTGTCATTCTGCAATTCAGTACTTTCTTGAGTTCACTGTCACTGAATCTGTAGGCTGAACTGTTGAAATTACATAACTCAACACGTAAGTCTCCTGGCTGTCAAGCAGTCCGCGACTCCCTCAATCGCTGATGCACTACTTCAGCATGAGGAGGATCATAAGGCCACCAAACATGAGGCCGGAAATTATAAGAACAGATATCTGCCTTTTCGAGTGCGGTAATAAGCTGCTTGGAGGTAGCGAGGATGAGATCGGGCATGTCGTACATTGTGAATGTGGATTAGAGAGTTGCATCATAATGTTACATACACTTGTATGCAAAACTGACAAAATGAAACAGCATCATAGTTGAAGCAGCCGCAGCATAATCTCCGCAGCAGTTCAACGTTGCGTTGTCGACAAGGCGTGGCCTAACCGATATCTTTCAGCTTCATTTGTCCAACGGCCTCCTCCACAATTGCGCATAGGTGGGCTTTCCAACCTGGTACATGAGAGAAATCTGCGGTTGCGCAAAAGAGTCAGGAAACGAAAGGTACTACAACCTATGGGTCACATCACTGAATTATCATCGTTTTCTTGCAGGGTCCAGAATGCATCAGCGTTCTCGGATTCGGATTCGTTGGGGACTGGGAATCTGCATCCGTCATCACTATAATGCCTACGCTAGTGGAGAAGACGATCTGATACTCACGCCCATTGTTCATCGACAAAGTAGTGATTCCACCAATACAGCGTGGTTTCCATTATCTCTCTCTCTCTTGTTGGCCTGGAGATTTATGCGCGGACTCGATGAGATTCGCATTGAAACCGTTTTCGCAGACAAACTCACGTCCCAACCCATGTAATCACCAGTGGTGATATTCTGGAGAAACAAACCCCGGGAACGTGGAAAACTTAGCGCCCACTATTAACATTACTTGTCAGCACCAAGGCCGGAACTTCATCTCTTGAGTGGGTATGCCCTTGTACTCGTCCCCAACGAGCGACATGTTCCTCTGCATCAAGACATTTAAGTACTTGACGTTTTCAACAACACAGTTGGTGATTGACCGAGTCTGTTTGGCATGATGGACGTTGTTTGGGAGGCAAGTGGGAGAATTTAATCTTCAAACTTGTGGTTGTGATATCCTTTATATTGCACGTTCTTGCGCAGACTCGTTATTCTTCTGTCCCGAACATCACACGTGCCCCTGAGTCATGTAAGCAATTCAATGCTAGCAAACCACAATACAACTGAAACTCACCGTCTCGTGATAAGCTACTATGATGAGATTTGTTGGAGATTTGGTAACATACTAACTATTGCAAAAAGAGTTGACATCATTTGTCGTTTTTGTTCGCCAGGAATGTTTGTTGATGGGCTTACTATGTGAGGATTTTTCTATTAAGATTTCTCGACAGTGACTTCCACACTTCCACGGTCGATACGAGGACTTCTCTTTGTAGAATCTGACCAGTGATCGCAAAAGAATTACAGACCAATTCCGCTTTGCAAGAAATTTTTATCAACGGCAGCGTCATCCATTCTGCCGTCCTGAGTATCGTACGTGCCCAAGGAATTAAATGCTGGTGAATTAAACTATACCACAGGCCTCGTGATGAGCCATTGTGAAATAAGCTTCATTCCTCGTTTTCGCCCGCCAGGAATGTCTGTCGACGACGGTATGGGTATTCTTCTAGAATCAGATCAGTCGATTTCTCAGCCCAGAGACTACCTTACCGTGCCAGTCAATTGCAAGACAAGTCGGATGGTGGTTGGTCTCCAGGATGTATTCTTTGCGTACAGTCAGACCAGATGGCATGGAAGATTATGGATTTTCACAACCAACTGCGTCCCGCCCACAACGCATCGTGTGGATCCCCGATTCTTACACGACAACTGTTGTCAGTTTCATTCATCCTGAATACCCTTGGGCCTTGTCCCAGGATAGAATCTTGTTAACACTTTCAATCACATGAACAATTAAAATTGTCAACATGCGCATCCCCTGAGCTGCTATGCTGTCCGGCAATCTATAGCTCCATAGTTGATGCTGTGAAACTAGGTGTTTCAGACACGTCCATGGTGGGTTCTACCCATTGACCAGCTTCGCCATCCTGACTACATATCAGTGACGCCAGCACAATTGATGCAGCAGCAGAGCTGGCCGACGCAGTCATCATAACCTCCCCAGCCTCCTGCACCACCACATGCGTACTCGAGCAGGAGCTGTGCAATAACCTCGTCCAGAAAAGGCGATGCGTAGCCCGCAGTCGGCAATGCGCTGCTTCAATATGAAGAGGACCATGAGGCCGAAAAACACGAGGCCGAAATTATGAGAATGCGGTCAAGCTAGTCTGTCTTTTCGAGTGCTGCAATGAGTTGTTTGGAGGTACCGAGGATGAGATCGAGTGAGCCGTGTGCTGTGGACGCAGATTGGAGAGTTGCAATTGATGATTCTGTATTGAACGAGCGATGATTATCGGAGAAATATGGGAGCAGGAAGAATTTGCCTAGTAACTGGCTCGACAAGACACAGTCTGCGCTCGAATTCTTTCTGCATTAGCTCGATGGTTCATTGCAGAGCTCCTGCGACATCATGATTGGCTTTCATGAGTGAGTCTTCGCTGTAATTCACAGGCCAGCCACATCAGAGGGTACAAATACACGCAGTGTACGAATGTGGCTTTCTCGCCCGAGGAGCTTGTGCTTTTCCTGAGAATGGCAGGAGACCGCAATAACTCTTCTCGCTGTGACCGACTTTGTGTATCAATTGCATGTTTCGACGCTAGAAATGCTGCTCGAGAGTCTTTTCGTAAGCTAATAGTCAGAGACCGGAGACACCGGATGGTCGAACTGCAACATGCCTGACAAATGAATCACGGAAGATATCCACTCTCCTCAGCTCTCTTCTTGCCCATTCAGTCCTCTGGTCATCAACCAGAACGTCCAGCTCCTACAAGTGGCAGTAAATGGAGGTTTAATTGCGAAATGGAAGGCAACAGACCCCAATCTGCTTGGCCGGGCCTTCAATATCCTCCCTTACGCCCGCCGCACACGCTTGTTGTGTTACCAAAGGACCGGCACATGCTCTTAGGCGAGGAATCTGAAACTTAGTGGTGCCGTTCAATGGAGTCGAATAGAGAGAGAGCTTCAGCATCCAGCGCTGTCGGTATAGGTGGCATGTCTGAAAAGAAAGGTAGGATGATACAAATATAGCTCTGGACCTCCTCCTGACCACCAGTGTTAGCGTCGCGGATACTAGATGGCTGATGTATAGATCAAGTGCCCGAAAGACCGCTTTCGAGGCAGCTTAGTGTTCAGTCTTTATCTGGCATAGCTGGAGGATTTTTGAATGATGTTCCTAGGTAGCACAGGGCCGCCCTCTACCTATGATATTGTCATGAGCAGAGTTTTGAGTTTCCTTTTTGGTATTCCCTACTAGTTAGTACACGCGCGTGTTCTCCTTTTGCTCTTCTTTAGTCTTGTGCTCGTCTAGGTATAGCTCAAAGTGTCGTACTTACATTCTCGCTAACGTCGTCTGTTTTGATAGTCATTGTGGTTCTCGATCGTTGTCTCGCCTCGGCTCTTCTCTCTGATAGATATCAAGCATAGTACAGTTGATATGCTCATAACGCATACCGTTGGGGCGGCAAAAACTTGATGCATTATAACACATATGCACGACGACATTTGTCACACAGATGTGACATATGTGACATCCGCCAAATTTGTGACACGAGAAAGTACAGTATCCACAGCGCGTACATATATTATGCTTTGAAATAACAATCTATAGAAGTCTGCTTGGCATTCAGTAGCTCCTCTCGCCGTAATTGAGCACGAAAAATGCGGAGCTGTGATGACAAATTAAGGGAAAATTGAGGATCACCATGTTGCATGCATCCAGTCTCGAGTTGCTGACACAATTTGAGGATTTCTGTGCGCGTGAATGATGGCCCATCTTCTTCTGACTCATCATCTGAATCAATCTCGATGATTTCACCATTTGTGACTGCAATCTCGTGACGGACTTCATCAGCAATAGCCTGGTCACCACCTTCGAAATTCAGGAGATCTCCATTATCTCTCTCCTCGGCAGGGTCCAGAATCTCGTCAATGGTTGATAAAGTGCCAAAAATGCGTTTCCGTTCCTTGAGATCATTAACTGATTCCATAAGTTCCTGTTCTGCGGCAGTGAGTTGGACTGGTTTTTGTTGACGTGCGGGAATTCGAAGTTTGAGACTGGTACGTCCAAATGCAGCCTTCTCGAGTGTATTGACTGCCCTCAAGGCAAGATCTGTATCTCCCTCAGCATCCATGACAGCTTTAAGTGCCGGCCTCCAGTCAGAATCTGTGAAACAGTCACTGAGATGGGCTTGCAGTTCACTTTTCTTGTAAGAAACTAAAAGCTAGGAGCGAAGTCTCAGCATCGTGAATGAACTGCTTTACATTGCAAGTACCTAGAAGCAAAGTCTAAAGGTACGGAGACATGAGATGAGGACAGTGTGCAAGAAATATGAAACATACCTCAGCATTGTGAATGAACTGCTGAGGTATGGACAAGGCAAGGCGCGAGGTATATATATGATGTATGTATAGAGTCCAAGTCCGAGAATAGAAAAGGAATGGTAGACTATGACGAGTAAACAAACGATGATGAACAGTGACAAAGTTGAATATCAACACACCCCCTTCAACGAGAAACTAATGACAAGCCGGAACGATGATGAGTGAAAGCGGGTTGGGGAAGAGCCTTGGTAAAGATGTTGGCAGTGTTCTTATGCATGGATATCCAGATGGGAATGAAGGTGCGATCTTCAATGTGTCGACGGATGAAATGATAATGAAGATCGATATGCTTGGTGCGGATATGATTCGTGGCTTCCTTCGAAAGTGCGATGGCACCAGCGTTGTCTGCAAACAACTGTAAGGGGAGCAGTAGTGCGAGTTTGAGGCAACCGAAGAACGACTGTAACCAGAGCCCATCTTGGATGGCGGAGGTGAGCGCCATATACTCAGCTTCGGTTGATGACAAAGCCTGCATCGTCTGTTTCTTTGCAGAATGTGATACTGGCCCGCCGTTGAAGAACCAGACATACCCGGATATGGAGACCCGATCCTCAGGGCACGAGGCCCAGTCGGAATCAGAAAAACCATGTAGAGCAGGGTTGATACCTGCACCCCCATAGTGAGCTCGCATGGTGATGGTCCCACAGAGGTAGTGCAAGACATGCTTGGCTGCCATGTAGTGCTTAGGCTCAGGAGACGCGTTGTACTGAGACAGTCGCATGACAGAGAGTGCAATGTCGGGTCGGGTGTACATTGCAAGGTAGAGGAGCTCACTGATGAGCTTATGATATTTGGTAGGAAGGTCGTTGACATGTGGAAAGACATCAGTGGGGCGTCCAAATGGGAAGTTCAGGTCCATAGGAAGTGAGACTGGGTTGCAGCTCGTCATACCATGCTCGTCAAGTAGATAGAGAATGTAGTCTTCCTGGTGCATCCACAGCTCGTGTGTCTTGTGGTCACAAATGAATTGGATTCCGAGATACTTAGTGACAGGGCCAAGATCCGTAATGCCAAAGCGTTCTGCAATCTGGCCTTTAGTTCGATCAAGGAATGCGCGATTATTTGAGCCCGCCAAGCCGTCATCAACATGCCATGTGATGATGCAAATGATGCGTACCCCATGTGCGTCAATGTGGTCAAAAATGAAGATGGCGTAATCTGCCTCGCATCGCAGGAATCCGAGTCGTGTCAACACCTCTCATAAAAGCTCATACCAGTTGTATGCAGCCTGTTTGAGGCCATAGAGACTTGACAAAAGGTGCACAACAAGACTGGCCCCATCAGACCCTTGGCGTTCGAAACCAGGAGGCTGTCTCATATAGATGTCTTCCTGCAACTTTCCCCAAAGAAAGGCCCATTTGGCATCGAAGCAGTCTAACTCCCAGTCATTGGCAGCGGCATGCGCAGATAGGATGTGAATGGATGCAGACTTTGCAATGGGAGCAAAAGTCCGGCCAAAATCGACTCCAGGGATCTGTGAGAAGCCTTGCACAACTAGTCTCGCCTTGAAAACTGGTCCCCCCTTGAGGTCCTCCTTGAACTCCAAGACCCATCTGCACCCAATGGCCCAATGATCAGTAGGAAGTGGAACAAGTTCATACACATTCATTTCAGACATGAGATTCATTTCCTTCCGCATTGCCGCCAGCCAGTGGTCGCTATCAGGTCTACGTGTCGCTTCATCATATGTTGTGGGAGGGATCCACAGGTCGTATCTGGAGGCTAAGGGGTTTTGGCGTGTGTCACTGCGAACAGACAATGCAGCTACCTCGACAATGATTAGGTTCGCAATGACGTGCGGAAAACCTACTTCATCAGTGTCTGGCACAATCGTGTCAGGATCAATGACAGGAGATGCAGGGAGTTCAGGCATGGGTGTTGGGAAGGGGACAATTGGAGGCTCTGCAATGGTGAGGTCAGTCGATGACGGAGGTATGCCATTGACCTGTGCTGCACAAAGCTCACGCTGTCGAGTAAGGCAAGCCTTGTCCACAGTGAGTTGGTCATGGAGGGGGAGTCCTTTGTCAGTGGGCACTGGAATATGGCCTGAATGACGAATGATATTGACATGGGGAGGGTCAAGAGGAGGAGGTGTGGATGTGGGAGTGGATGACGGGATTGCGGCTGAGTCGTCCTCGTCATCACTGTCAGGGAATGGGCAGTTAGCGAAGCTCTCGTTGAAGATAACATCGCGAGAATTAAAGAACGCGCCAGTGACAGCATCACGACATCTCCAAGCCTTGACACCAGGCAGATAACCCATAAACACGGCTTCACATGATTGTGGACCTAACTTCAGCTGAAGTTCTGTAGGTATGCGAGCAAAACAGCAAGCTCCAAAGACACGGAGATGAGCGAGATTTGGTTGAGTGCCATGAAGCATTTCATAGGGTGTTTTGCCTGCAGGAAGCACGCGAGATTTGGTCCTGTTGAACAGGTAACACACCGTCAGTGCCACTTCACCCCAGAGAGATGGAGGCAAACGTGCAAGATTCAGCATCGCATACATACAGCCTTCAACCGTACGCATCACCCTCTCTGCCTTCCCATTCTGCTGATGAGCATAGGGCGCAGAGCATTGACACTGAATCCCGGCTGCCTCCAAATGTGCCGTGAAGGCATCACTGATAAACTCCCCCCCATTGTCACTCCAAAAGATCTTGACCTGCTTTCCTGACATATTCTCCCAATGAGCCTGTAGTGTGCGCCATGCTTCCAAGGCCTGGTCCTTGGTAGCTAGAAGTTGGAGATCAAGTGCGTGGGAATGGTCATCGAGGAAGACAATGAAGTAACGTTTGCCGTGCGTCATTAAAGTGGGGATTGGGCCGCACACATCACTGTGTATAAGATCAAGGAAGGTGTCAGTGCACTCAGTCTCAGATGAGTGGAAAGGCTGATGAGGGTGTTTGGCTAAGATGCAGGATTCACAGTGTGATAATGGTGTGGTTGTTTGCAAGAGGACCCCTTTGGCTACGCGATTGAGACGAGTCACTGCATCCTTTCCAATATGACCAACACATGCGTGCCAAAGGTCAAGTGACAACAGAACATTGACGAAGGCAGATAGTTCTGGCAAAGGTGCAACTGCGACAGGCAAGGAGAAGGGGATGAAGTTGAAGTCAGGCACATAAAGCTTCCCAGTTGCTGGTATAGAGCTGAGCGGAGTGCCCTTGTATGCCAATTCGCATGTCATGTTTGTGCGGAAGTTGATATCCCACCCCTTTGCATTCATACAGCTGACAGAGAGAAGATTCAGCAGAGCGTTAGGGGCGTGCAAGCAGTTGGTAAGACGGATACGAAGTCGTCATTGATTGATCATGAACCAAGCGATGCACGTGCTGTGACCAGTTGTCTGAAGAACCCCATGGTTGGCAGTGAGCACGTTGATGGGGTCTTCTGTGGAATAAGTGTGAAAGAACTTCCGGTCCTTGACTAGCATCACCGTAGTGCCTGAATTGAGGATGGTCTTGAAGGGGAGGTTGACATTGCATGAGACTTCATCCTGAACCTCAGCAATGGACGCAAAAGAGAGATCGTGCATGAGGCTACTAATGTCAGCAGCTGTGGCTGCAATAACAGGTGCTGTTGCAGCAGGAGGGACAGGTGCCTTGGTGGTGGCTGCCGCAGCAACATTCTTCATCTCCTTAGGCTTCTCCTCCTTCTTGTTCCGCATCCAGGGCGCCTGCCCTTCCATACCACCCCCCTTCTGATAACAATGCAGGTGGTCGTGATCACCCTTATTACACCCAGGTGTGGTGCAAAAGACTCCATCAGGGTTGAAGCAATGCTTGTGAAGGCCCGTGATTGGGTTGGTACTGGTTGACGAGTTGGTAGTCACAGTGGCATTAGCATACTCAGAGCCAGGGCATGACGAATGAATAGCCTGTGCATGTACATGGCGTGCAGCTTCAGAGGTGATGTGCGCAATGCAACTTTCAATGGTGAAGGTGGATGGGGCAGTGGACATGCTGGTCATGACCTCGTCATGCATGCGCTGCTTGAGCATTGACTTAAATTGCTGCCAAATAGGTGTTTGGGGAAGACCAATGAGGACACTGTAGATGGTGTCACTGTCACGAAGGGGGGCGCCACAATCACTGAGGCATTCACAAAGTACGGCGTGCTGGCCAACATAGTTATTAGCATCCGCCGAATCCTTCATTCGAAGGGCATCAATGCATTGTCGAAGGTGGTACTGCACACTAGTGTCCATGTGATTGAAATGGTCAGCGAGCGTCTGCCAGGCTTTACGAGCTGAAGTGGTATGAGCACGAGAGATTAGAGCTCCAATGGAAGTGTTGAGGCAACAAGTGATAAGATCCTTAGCCTTAATGTCGTCCAGTAGCCATTCATGGATCTTTGCCTTCTTGGCACTTGTGATATTAGCAGGATCAACAGGAATGGGCAGGTAGGATGGAGTTCCAAGAATGTCAGCGGGATCTGATTTCATATTGACGTGACACCAGAGGTCTTCGCATGCAAGTGCGTACTGCATTTTCATTGACCATCCAATGTAGTTTTCTGACCCCAACAATTCCGGAATATGATCATATTTCCCCATGGTGATACCGCTGTGAAGGTTTTAATACGGGCATTTAAAAGATGTGAGCAGTGGCTGACATGAGGGAGGATTGTTTCTAAGTGCTTCGTTTATTGGCTCAGTAAGAGCCGGGGCTCATAACCTCTTGTAAGAAACTAAAAGCTAGAAGCGAAGTCTCAGCGTCGTGAATGAACTGCTTTACATTGCAAGTACCTAGAAGCAAAGTCTAAAGGTACAGAGACATGAGATGAGGACAGCATGCAAGAAATACGAAACATACCTCAGTGTTGTGAATGAACTGCTGAGGTATGGACAAGGCGAGGTGTGAGGTATATATATGATGTATGTATAGAGTCTGAGTCCAAGAATAGAAAAGGAATGGTAGACTATGATGAGTAAACAAACAATGACAAACAGTGACGAAGTTGAATATCAACAACTTTCTGCTTCAGGAAGTGACATTTCAGTCCCTGAAAACTTACAGACAATGGTCCAAGCAGCCAGATCAACATGTGGTCGCAGGTCCACAAATAAATCACTACATGATAATGTAAATTAGCATTGATGAAATCAGAATAACAATGAAAATTTTAACTAACAGTTGAATTTGGGCATGATCCCAGCAGTGTTCAATTGTTTCTGATGACACAGTGTTCTGGGCTTGTTTCACCAGTGTCATGCCTTCTAGAAGGTTGAGCTTATAAATGCTCTGCTCACCAGCCTTGTCGAGATCAATGGTGTGGGCACAAAAATAGCGATGATATAGAGCCTTGAAGCACCGGATTATCCCAGCATCACATGGCTGTACATATGGTGTCATATTGGGCTCGAAAAACTCAACATCAATGTTTGAAGGTTGATATGAGACATAATGGGCCGAAAAAATTGTCAACAAACAAGCAAATGTGGCGATGTTGCTGCTTCATTCGAAGATCAAGCTTCTTAAGCCACCTAAATTAAGACTGATCAGACTCAGACATGATACAATGAATCATTGATCAACTTACTCTTCAAAAATAACTGATGTCATCCAAGCTTTTTTGTTGTTGCGGTAATAAAACCCGTGCTGTTCTGGTGTTTGCTTTTTAAAGCAGCGTGGTTTTGCTGCTCTTCCAATGAAGATGGGTTCAAGCCATTCACTGCCATCAGCATTACATGCTAGCCCAATAGAAATGCGAAACTTTTCTTTCTTCTTGCCACTCATCTGCTGTGATGCGAGACCACGGTCAGGAGGCGCACTATAATTAATTAAGTTAGCCATCATTATTCAGGAACTAATTCACTTACTAAGGAAAGAATGATGTCTCATCAAAGTTCCACCGATCTTGTGGGGCAAACTTTGCTAAAATTCTGTGACAACGCTCCCTCTCTAGTTCAACAGCCTTGGGATCAACAGAACCAGCCTCTCCATGTCGGTGGTGTTCATGGAGCTTATAGGCTTTACAGAATGACTGTACCCATGCCTCGCCAAGCAATCTCTCCTTTTCTGGCACATCAAATTCATTTTCAAATCTCTTCCGCTTCTCACATAACATATGTGATGTTACTGTTTCACCTTTATGTTCCATGTGCTGCACCCAAAGAACTAAGGCTCACTCAACATCCAGTCAAGTGACAACTCTCAGCCATTTTGCTGACAGCACATTTGGGTTGTCATTGATGCGAGCTTCCATATTTGGGCGGGTTCATAATTTGCGAGACAGTGTTGATTGATCAAAGTTGAGTGCACCAGTTGGGAGTGATTTGAAGTGTCGGACAATGTCAGCCTGGGTGGCATGAGGGTGAGCATCAATGAAGGTATAGACAGACAGCCAATCAGCAAGAGTGAGATTTTGATGTGAATTTGAGCATTTATTGAGAGGTTGAGCAGATGTACGAGGAGTGTCATTTGTAATATTCTGCTTCTTTGCAGGTCGAGTGTATGCGGCAGGCTTATCGCGTGGCTTGCGTTTCAGTGTTAGGGACATTTTTACGAATCAGGACATTAATCCATTCCACACTTACATAGCTGAGCAGGACAATGCTGGAGAACAATAGTTTGGGTGCTACTTATGTCTCGTTGCCCTAGTCACGACCCTCTGATAATGCATATCATCCACACAATAGCTATGCATTATGCCTTATGCATTATGTCTGCATTTCAGCCCGCCCGTGTTGGGATCGTCAAAAGTCCGTGCATTATGACATATATGCATAGTTACGATATGCAATACGAGCATATCAACTGTACATCACTGTCAACTGTCACTTGAGACTCGATGTTCGAGTCTATAATGGATGATGTATGGATTTATAAACAGTTCTTTGTTGGCATTCTGAGCATCCTCCAGAACTAAAACGTCGATCATGGTCACCTAGGTCGCAAAGAGATGGCTAAGGAGGAGCCTTTGTCGACTAATAAGCATCGCGCCTCCTACTCGATCGAGTTGGACGTCAAGCATGCGCCGCAGTGTGACTGTGGCAATGTGCTCTTTGTGGTGCAAGCACGGGCTCCAACTCTTGCCAGTGACCTGAACCAGCTCACTTCATGGGATATCTTACACGGGTGAGTTCCCGCAGCCCATGGAACTGCCATTGTCCACCTGTTCAAAGAGGACACGAAGCTGCACATGGCTCGTACTCTCGATGATTCCTGCTCGCCGCCGAGACGGACTCTGTCATTCTCCGAGCATGCACAGATTAGTACCTAGAACTTAGGTCTCTCCCAGTCTTCCCACAGTACCAGTCATGACCACGGTGTGCCGCGACAGACAACAATGCATACTCGCACAAAAGACGTGAAAACAGCGGGCTGCAGCCCAATCTGCGTGACAGTTGAATGCCACGTTCGTCAACAAGCACCTAGACTAAAATACTAATTCGCGAGACGGCTAAACGAAATCCTTCAACCACAGGTTCATCCTTCCAAGATGTCCCACAGCTGCGCATCGATGAGAGTCCCTTCCTGGTTCTTGAGGATGACCTGCAACGATCGTCAGGAACAGCGTGGTACCACGGTCAATGGGTCACGTCACCGATTTATCAGCTTCGAGTTGCAAAGTACGGAAGGCTGCAGGGCTCTGCGCAGTATGGGGGACTTGGAATCTGCGCCTCATCGTCAGTAGACAGGTCTGGTTTGATTCACGCCTGCTCGCACCCGACGTGACCGCCTTGGAAGACTACTTGCCACCAGTGCTCCTTGGGGCTCATGACGGCCTTCGTGTCCGTCTGCAAATTTGCGCAAAAGGTGAGATTCGCATTGGAACCGCTTCTCGCAGACGCTTACGTTCCATGCCAAGTAATCGCCACTGCCATCGTTCTTGACCGTCCCAGATACCCTTGCGTCTTT